GAAATTAGTTCTTCTGGAATTTTACAACACCCAAAATAGGACGAGAGCGAAATGTTGGATCACCAGCAATAACCTGGGCATTCTTCGAAGAACCAGAAATACTAATTTTTCCTTTGCCTCCCAACACATATTTTGCAAGATTTTAGGGTAGATAGAAAAAATTTTAAAAAGCATTCAGGAGACCATTTCCATGGTTTAGCAAGACAATATAGACAGCGTAGTGCTCACATTTAGTGGATATTGTGTTGTAACCAGCAAAACAATTTGTACAGTAATGATTAAACTACATGTTGCAAGAATAGGCAGTGAGCTGTATCAGATTTCACGAAATTTACCGTAGTTTCGACAATAATACATCATTGATCCAGCAAAATTGAAGCATGGGGATACTCATTCGACTCAAAGAAAAGTGGCAAATTCCCTTAGTAAACAAGCATTATTTTGATCCGTAGAAAAACGCAAAATTAACTGCTTCAATGTAAATAAGTTGAATTCAGTTAGAAATGCATTTAAGTGATGTTAGTCGGTCAAATAGGAGACAGTCGTAACTCAAAAAAAAATTTGAGTCATGTTATCAGCAGATTTGTAGGTGAATACATAATTTGGTTCACATCAAACATTTCACACACCTACCTGATAGATCAGAGCAAAGTCTCATAGATATCCCCACAGATGATGAGTTGTCCGTGATGTATTTGAGCTAAAGTTGCCTGCTGTTTCAACCGCCTCAACAACACCACGGTATAAACTGGGAGCAGACGTCGATCGTGTCAGTTTAGGGAGAGAAATTCCACGTAATTTATCAAGCACCTGGAAAATGCCAGTTGAGAAATAAGCGAAATATTAATAAAGGGAAAACGAACCTCGTTGAATTCAGGCCTTTCGTCTCTACTGAACTTTATACACCGCTCGTAAAGGGCCATTAACGGCTTTGGCGTATCCGATCGGATTTTCGTTGCATCTGGTTTCAGATAACCTCGGCCAACCTGCAAACAAAATTACTGAAAAGCGTCAAATTCGTTATGATAATAGAACAATCAGTTAAAGAGGGGAGCAATCTAGTTGCATTTTTTGCAGATCTGCATACCAGAAATTCGCTTACAACCTTAAAAGCCTAAAGTCAAAAGAGAACAAAAAAGAAGTAGCAAAACTATTACACGGCTGGTTGAATAATCATTTTAAAAGGTAAGAAAGTAAAGTTATGATAAAACCATCAACCCACCATAAACAGAATCTGATCCCTGTTATTTATATTCGAATAAGGTAAAGAGCTAGAGAGAACTTCGTACATAACTATACCGAACGAATATACATCAGATAAAGTAGTATATGGATTCGGATCTTGCATGCGGATAACTTCTGGTGCCTGAAACATGAATAAGTATTACTAAAAAATGCATTGAAAGAGGAAGAGCGGAACATACCATCCATAAAATACTGCCGGTTGGTTGTTGGCTCTGTTGACCTCCACTCCACCTTGTTTTCACAGTAGCCAAACCAAAATCACCAATTTTCACAGTGCTCATATCGTCCATAAGGAAAATGTTATTAGTTTTCAGATCTCTATAAAAATGTTTTTAGTGACTCTTGATGCACTTCATTAAAGGCAGTATGCACCAGCAG